GGGATGGAAGGGTGAATGTGGCTTAGGGAGTCCCAGCGCGGAGAGCTGCGCTGTAGACTTACCCCAAGAGGCCTGAGGATAGTAGTGCCTTAAATTTTTTTTACATAAAGTATTCATTTGAAAAACAAAAGTGTTAAATTGAAGGGAAAAGTTCCTTGAAATAAAACTTTACCAATCCTATGAGACTCTTGCCTACTAGGACTATAGTGATGTGTTGTTCGCTCCAGATTTTTAAGCATTTGCTAGCACATGTATGATGTGCACAGACACTCCTGTGTTGCAGGCACACTCACTTATCAGAGATCCTAAAATACATACTGTTTTTCAGCATCACGTCCACTAATACATTCTAGACATCTTTCCATAGCAGTATAATGATGTGCTCTTGTTTTTGTTTGGGTTTTTTTTTTGTCTTGGGGGGTGTGTGGTACATACATATGAGTGTATGGGTGTACTATAAGCACTTGTGTACATGTGAAAGCCAGAGGAAGGCCAGTGTCTTCCTCTATCATTTCTCTACCTTATTGCCTTGAGACAGTGTCTTTTACTGAACCCCGAGTTTGCCATTTCAGCTAGGCTGACTAGCCAATGAGTTCTCAAGGATCTACTTACGAATGTCCTACAAAGCTGGGGTTAGAGACACACACTTTTTATTTGTGTGCTGGAGATTTGAACTCAGGTCTTCATGCTTGCAGACCAAGCACTCTTACTGACTCAGCCATCTCCCCAGTCCCCAGCCCCTTTCTTTGAAACATTGCATAGTATTTCATTATACTGGAAAACAAAAATATATTTTTAATATCCCTGTTGGTGGGCATTTAAATTATTTGTTTTTTAATATTGCAAACAAGGATACAGTCAGTATCCTTGTATAAATGTGTTTTAGCAAAATCCAATTCTTTTAAACAGTTCACCTCTAAAACTTTTAATAACTTTGATATATGTTTGTTAAAGAGTGAAGAATATGCTGCTTAAGTCTAACTGTGTTTTGGAAGCTTTTGGAAATGCCAAAACCAACCGTAATGATAACTCAAGCAGGTTCGGAAAATACATGGATATCAACTTTGATTTCAAGGGAGACCCTATTGGTGGACATATCAATAACTACTTACTGGAGAAGGTAAATTGTGTTGAATTCCTACAAATTTCTATGGTAATGCTTATAAGAACTGAGTTTTTAAAAAATAATACTTGTATTATTTCATTGGCTGTCTTAAAGTGGCTTTTAAGCCTATTATCCCTCATCACATTGCTTTCTGCTGTAAGCTATTCTTATGTTCTCTTATGAGTACCTATTATATCAGTTTAGAAAATGTTACATTTTGTAGATGCAGGTTTGGGGTATGTATGGGACAGGAGGGTATGATGTGACAACTTAGGGTAAAATTTAGCCAAAATCCCAAACCAATCAGATCTCATTTCCTTCACACACACACACACACACACACACGTGTGTCTGTCTCTTTCTCCTGTGTAGCTCAGACTAGCCTGTAACTCACCAGTCCCTTGCCCCAGCAGTGCTGAGGTTTCAGGAATGTACCACCAGTCTGAGCTTTCAAATCTACTCTTTTATGTTACCATCTTCCATCTAACTTACTTTTAAATTGAAACAGAAATTTCCTTTTCTTCCAGTTTCTATTTGCTCACCGTTTTATAGCATTATATATATTTTTATGCTCTTTCCTCTTAATTATGAAGCATTCTGTATTTGGTCAGTGAAAATTAGACCCCGTTTGTAGAAGATTCTAATTAAGACTCTCCTCTTGGGATGGCCAGAGAGGCTGTGCCATAGATGCCTACCTGGTCTTGATTACCAGGAGACTGGCTGCAGGAACGCACAGGTGTTCATCCTCCCCATCCACAGCTAAACCATGCAGTATCCACCTTGAATTGTGTTCTAGGGTAATCTCATGCTTCTCAGTCAAGGGTTTCCCATCCCAGTTACTCCATAGCATCTTATAGCAGTATAATTTCTATCTATTTTTATAGGGAGGTCTGACAGTTAAGAAAATAGTACTTTATCAGAGCCAGTTGGAAAAGAACAGAAAACGCCAAATATTACCGTCTGTTCTCCCTAATGTTTTCATGGCTCTGCTGTGTGTACATAGGCAATCAAAAAGATCACTTTGAATGAACACACATTTTGAGCCCATTCCTAATGTTAGTGTTTTTGGAGCATCTAGGTAGCAGTCTCTAGGGCCTAATCTTTTTGACTGATTTTATTACAGGACATATAATGCCTTCCTCTTTGAAATGCCAGCAGACTCCAGGAAGGGAATGTTGAGAATGTTCCTCCCCAACATTCCTTTCCATTCTCCCTACTCCATCCCTGTCCCTCACCAAATACTATCTTTAGACTCCAGGTTGAAAAAGAAAATCTTCATTCTTCAAGAAAGTTTAGACACCTCCTTTTTAAGCAACATAAAGAATTATCAAAATATTGCCAGAAAAGCCCACAGAGAACACCCTCCCCTATCTTAGATGAGTTCTGGCCACAGAATCTTTAGGGCTTAAATGTACTATAGATAGAAGATTCTCCAAGAAAGTAGCTTCCAATTTATTTTAAAACTTCCTTTTCAGATTAACCATTTTAATGTTTTGTTTTGTTTTTCTTAGTCTCGAGTGATTGTGCAGCAGCCGGGAGAACGAAACTTCCATTCTTTCTATCAGGTTAGTCATCTGTTTTGCAGAGAACTGATCATTTGCCTGGTAGTACAGAAAAATCTTTCTATTGACTCTCATTGTCCCACAATATACTACATGTATGTACACATACACATACCCTAACCCACCTACTTCCTAAGAGATGTGATTGGTGTGACCATTGTGAGAGCTGGCAGGTGATTAGGTCTCCTAGGCTGAGTATTGCCTACATTTCCTTGCAGCTAAGGTAACAGTTTAGTGACCATGAAAGCTTTTGATATGGTGCTTTCTAAATACGTTAATTTTATTCTTTTGAATTGAAGTTATTATTCCTATATTTGAGAGTTCAGAGATGAAAACATAAATTCAGTTTATGTTGCTCTTGATAGCTATGAGCAATATCATCACTTCAGGGGGAAGAAAAAAAACAGGATTTATAAAGCCAAGAGAAAATGATCATCTTTGTCCTGTCAGAACACAGAAAAAAAATGTCTTTTAAGAGTACTACTAGAGTTTGGAACAAACTTTATTTATTTATTTATTTATTTATTTATTTATTTAGTCTTTTTGAGACAGGATGTCCCTATAGCCCCAGCTGCCCTGGCACTCGCTATGTAGACCAGGCTGGCCTTGATCTCACAGAGATCCTCTTGCCTCTGCCTCCTGAGTTATGGGACTAAAAGTGTGTACCACTACGCCCAGTGGAACAAAGTCTTAAATAACATTTCTTTGGTACATCTCCACTCATAGAACAAGTATGATATATTATTTTTGAAACCCAAAGTAATGTAAACCAAGGCTAATAAAGTTGGATGACCTAATTAAGTAATACTATTTTGAGTATTAAAGAATTAAGACTTTGGGGCTAGGGAGCTAGCTCACTCAGTAAAGTGCCTGCTGGGTAAGCAAAAGGACCTGAGTTTAATCCCTGCATAAAAAAAGAACAAAACAAAACAGGTGTGGTGGTGTGCACTTAAAATCCTAGTGTTGGGGAAGCAGAGACATGTAGATCCTGAGACTGTCTAACCAGCAGTCTAGCCTGCTCAGCAAGCTCCAGGCCAAGGAGAGATTCAGTCTCAAAAAAGACAAAGTGAACAGAACCTGAGGAATGACACTGTAGCCTCCATGCACACCCCTCTCCCCCAGGAACATATGCACATATGCATGCAGTCACACAATTAAAACTGTGAATTAAAAAGATTGATTCATATGTGTAGCTGTCTTTGAAGGTGATTAATAGTAACAGAACAATTGAATACAGTATCAAATTTGATTAGGTAACTGCTTTAGTTAATACTACTCAAGTTCTAGGTGTTTGGTTTAAAAATCATTTTTAAAAATCTGACATTGTACATTTTAAATAAACCAAAGCTTAGAGTTTAATACAGAACTTTTATGCACAATACCTTCTGAAGATCTCTTCTGTAATGTAAAAGGGGTATTAGTTTTGTATTTGTTTTTGGTGACAATTTGCTATTTTGGATAAACTTTTTCTACAAAATATATGAGTTATTTATTTCAAGAACTTGGAACTTTTTTACCAGTGTTTCCCACTTGAATGAAGTTGCTGAAATGTGTCTTCACCCTCCACAAGAGTCTTGGTTGCCCAGTCACACTCCTTTCTGACTGTGATGCTTGAGGAAGAAAGCTGCTCAGCGCACACATGGCTCAGCATAGGACTGTCCGCTGCTGCTGCCTCTTCCACAGCAATGTTGACTTTTTCTAAATTCTGCAAAAAGCTATGTGCTCTCTGTAATGAAGCAACTAAGCAGTAACTATGTCAGGACAGGAATCCAGTCTTATAGACAATCATATTTGCAGCAAGAATCTTTTAGACCAATCTTGTAAATGTACTGAGATGTTTTATGTAATATTGCTCACAGCTCTGTAACTTTCTGCTTAACTTTTGACATGGAAGCCATTTAACTATAAGTAAAAATAACAAAAATTCCAAAAATTTCTTCAAAGCCTGAAACAAGAGGACCTAAATGAAGAAACCCCAAAAATGAGTAAGAACTAGATTACCACTAAGTTAAAATATTTAATATTTTGAGATTAGTATCTGACAATTGTATTAGTCAAGGTTCTCAAAAGAAACAGAACCAAAAGAATGAATATGTATTAAAATAGATTTATTAGATAGATTTGTAGGATACAATCTGAGTAGTCTAAGAATAGCTCTTTTCATTCTGGAGCGGCTGACAACCCAGCAACTGCTCTACAAGGCCTTACTTAGTAGTCCTAATCTGGCACTGAAGGCCTGGAGGATTCCTGAAGAGCCACAGGTCTTCATTCTATACCAGAAGCCCAAAGAAGCTGGGCTCTGATGTCAGCAAAGAAATGTAGTGACTGTGATGGCAGCAGCAATAGAGTAGATGAGCTCACCAGCAAGATGTGGAGACAGTGAGGCACAAACACTTGGTCCTGCTTTTATCTTTCTGCCACTCAAATTCATTCGGCATTTGGGTACTCCCCAAATTCAAGGTGGGTCTTCTCACATCAAATAACCTATCAAAAACGTCCCTCACAGGCTGCCATAATAGTGTATCTTTTAGTTGAGTCCAGATCCAATCAAGTTGACAACGAAGATTAACCACCACAGCAATTTATTTTAAATTAAATATTTTTCAGCTACTCCAGGGAGGTTCAGAGCAGACGCTGCGTTCTCTACATCTGCAGAAATCCCTCTCATCCTACAACTATATCTGTGTGGGCGCACAACTGAAGGTGAGTTTCCTGTTTGAGAGTGCTCTGGTACAGAAACAGAAAAGAATCAGAAGGAGCATGAACTACTTGTCTGGCCCAGCCTGCTGCCTTGTGGCAGATACATGTCTCTTCCACTCTGCTTTGAAAATTCTCTGGGACAGAAATTCAGGCTGGAGAGATGACTCAGCGGTTAAGAGCATAGATTGCTCTTACAGAGGACCTGGATTCAATTCCCAGCACCCACATGGCAGCTAACTCCAGTTCCAGGGGATCCAACACCCTCTTTTGAGCTCCACGAGCATTGCACTACATGGGCGTACTTACATACACGCAGGCAATACACTCATACACATAAAATAAAAATAATAAATAAAATTTAAAAAAATTCTCTGGGACAGAAACGTAATACATTGTTAGGTGAAAACCTTGCTTACTAATCCATAACTTTGTTTTGTCACCATCTAACTGAAGTTTCTGTGTTCAGTGTTTTCTCTTAATTTTTAATCTGATTCGATTTGTTTTAACACTATAAAAATGCTAGTAGGACTAAGAAGTCTGCTCCCTAGGAGTTCATATGCTTTCATCGAAGGCAAGTTGGTCTGACAAAACAAAATTAAAAAACACTTTCTCTTCACTATTCTTTTTAACTTTTAAAATTTTATTTTATGTGTGTATTGCCTGCATGTAAGTGCACCTGCCGGTGCCAGCCAGCCAAGATCGACAGTACCTGAAAGGGGGAGTGAGGATTGAAAGAAAAAACAAGAGACAGAAAAGATACTTGGGAGGGCTGTCAGTAGAGACTGCAGCCCCGGTTCATTTCAGCTCTGCCTTTTTATACAGAAGAACTCAATTAATTTCAACAACTGTTTTTCCCACCTGTATCTGAGGGTCAAGGAGCAGTCAAATACTTGTTTTGTGAGCTCCACCGTATAAACACATTCCTCCTGATTTGGCAGATTAGGTACTGGTGTGCAAAACACAAACTCAGTAAACAAGCCTGCCACAGCTTATGTACATAATGGATTAATAGCTCCCGACATGCACCCATCATGCAGTGTCTGAAGAGGTCAGAAGAAGGCATTGGAGCCCCTGGAACTGGAGTTCCAGATAGTTACTAGCCAGTATGTGGGTGCTGGGATTCAAACCTGGGTCTCCTAAAAGAACAGCCATATGTATGCTATTTTTATAATTTTTAAAAATACTTTATTATTTTTATTTTATGTGTATGAGTGTATGTAGGTGCATCTGTGTTGTGCAATGCCCACAGAGGTTAGAAGAGGACATCAGATCCCCTGGAACTGGAGTTATGGACAGCTGTAAGCCGCCATGTGGAATCGAACACGGGTTCTCTGCAAGAGCAGTCAGTGCTCTTACTGTTGAGCCATCTCTTCAGTCCCCCTTTTCTCCCCCCCTGCAAAACAGGGTTTCACTGTAGCCCCAGCTGGCCTGAAACTCACTATGTAGACCAGGCTGGCCTTGAACTCACAGAGATCTGCCTGCCTCTGCCTCCCGAGTGCTGGGATTAAAGGTATGTGCCACCATACCTGGCCATGTTCACTATTTTTTAAATATTGATTTTGATTAACCTAGGAATTAGTTTTCAATTAATTAATTTTAGTAATGTAAGCATTAATAGGTTATAAAGAGATAGTTACAGTATTATCCTATTTAGCAGAAGCAAGGATTTAAATTCATACAGTAAGATATGGAAGACCTAGACCACAGTTTTAATGTTCAGTCAGAAAGAGGAAGCTTATGGATATTTATGTCCTGCTTTTGTGTATTTTTAACTTTTCTATAATTAAAAAAAAATGCATTGCTGTGAAGGTTTAGTGGTGCATGCCTGCAACCTAGCAGTCAAGAAACTGATACTGTAGGGGCTGCTAAATCATCCTGGGCTACATGCCTCAAAAATAAGAAAAAGCATTGGTGGTTTTAGGTGGATGAAAAATAAGAGCTTCTAAAAGAAAAGGATGTTGGGAGGTACTTTTATTTAAATTATTATTCATTTTAAGCTAATTATACCCTCATTACTGGCTTAGCAATGTTTTTATTGCTATGCATAGAAACAAATGGTACTTAAGTTTTGTAGCTAATTTTCTGTCATTTGATATTTAAGTTATACCATCTTTTTAACAGTCTTCTAAGAGCAGAAATATTTGCCTGGAAATTAATTGAAAATGAAGCAATAGAGGGCAACACTCCAACTTTCTGAGCATTGCCAGAAATACTTAAATATATAGAGAGGATTGTAAAAATCAGCATTGAAAAAGCGAGTGCCTGGGATATTCCTTTTCAATCTGGTTGTCTTGTTAACAAAATTACTTTTTGCCAGGTTTCATATAGCTTAATACTTAAGTATGAAGTTGACATTTAGACTTCTTTCTAAGTTAAATTCAGCTTAGGTCCTGTTTTTGTTGAAGTGTTCATTCATACTTTTTTTTTTCTTATTCTTCCTTTCTGATAAAAACAAAGAATATGTGCTCATAGTCAAAACTTAAGATATAGGCTTAAATTTTAGCATATGGAAATATAATTAGTAATAACGACCTGCATGTATGTTTATTAACAAAATTATACAGTAAATCCTGATTAAACCTACTTTTATATTACAATTATTATTTTCCCTTACAAATATAAATAAGATTTTAATAACCATAAATTATTATATATTTTTTTAAGTAATCTTAAATTGTAGGGATCATGTAGAAATTAAGATATCTTAGGTTACAGGTAAGAGAAAATCCAACTGAAAGTTTCTCAAAACAAGGGACTGAAGAGATGGCTCAGTGGTTAAGAACACTGGCTGCTCTCACAAAGGACCCAGATTGTCCTTTGTGACACCCACACCACATGGCAGCTAACAACCATCTGTAACTGCAGTTCCAGAGGATCTGATGCCCTCTTCTGGCCTCTGTGGACATTGCAAAACACAGATTCATGCAGGCAAAATACTCATACGCATAAAATGAAAATAGTTGTTCTTAAGTTTCCCCAAACAAGAAGAAACTTATTTATCCTGTATAATAGTGAGTATTGGGATAGCAGTTCCAGAGTTGACGAATTCAGTGTCTCAACATTCTTAGAGACTCAGATGCTTTTGTGTTTTTCTTCCAACTTAAAGCTCTGATGCACTCCGTATACTGGCTTGTCCTCTTAGGCTGGTTTTCCTTGTGGTCCCCAAATATCATCAGCAGCCTGAGGATTCACAGGCAAAGGAAATGTTTCTATCTTCTGTCCCTTTATACACTGGTAGAAACTTCTTAGAGCACTTCTTTCACCCAGCTCTCACACCTGCTTTCCCTCGTGTGCATGGATCACAATGGTATCACATGCCTGTAAACCAGTTGCTTGGTAAGGGGAAGAAGATCGCCATGATAAGTTTAGACTCTTGAAGCTCCTGAGGCTAGGAACAAGCTAATCATGGATGAACTTGGAGAGGACTAATTGTTGTTCTGTTAGCAAGAATGAAATGGTAGACTGTTAGGGAAGCATCCAGCAACTCCTCACTGTAGGCCATAACTGCCATTTCAACATGGTTGCAGTTTATAATACTAGTAATATCTGATATTTTAGTGCTTTTTTATGTGGTAGGGACTAGACAACAACCCTGTAGGAGATGTGTTATTCTGTCCATGTTATCTGTGAGGAAATTAAGGCTCAATAAGGTTAAGTGTCTAGCCCATAGTAAAGATGCTCGTAGGTACAGGAGCTTGCCTGGTTGTCCCCTGGGTACAGAATGTGCCTTCCTCAGGCAGAGAGGTCTCCTTCCTGTGTCCTTCCTCAGCAAGCAAGCAAGTGGCCAAGACTCTATGTCCAGGCAAGAAGAGCAATCTACTGTGAGAAGGTTTAGTCCATAACTGCTTTGGGGAAAACCTTTAATAAGCAGTTACCACTGCTTTATTGTGAAATCTGTTGGCTAACTGGTACTACCAACCTGATAGCCACAGCTCCTAAAGGCTTGAAGACTCATCGTTGAACACTGGTGTTCCAGTTAGAAGCTATACTTTACCATATGCTTATCAGACAAAAGAAAACAATGGAGTATAATTCCAGGCTATGCAACAGCTTGGTAAATGACAGAGGCTGCTGACTTCGTTCTTGGGGGCCTTGCTTTTCCTCACCTAGGAAATAAGCCTAACGATACACAGTGGAAGCGCTGTTGCCTGCCTGCACCAGAGGAACTGTGGGACAGAGAGCTGCAAGTGCAATAGCCATCCATGGATTTTGGCAGTTCTCACGTTCAACATTTTCATGTGTGATCTCACATCCCATGTCATTGCCTTCACAGAATACAGAGCTGTGACCTTCTCTGAGCCAATTTAGGACAGAAGCTTCTAGAAAAGTGCATGGTGCTTATTTTAAGTGATGGTGTTCATACACAAATAGGCCTTAAATGTGCTGAATGATCTTTCCATCCTGAAATAATTTTTATTTTCTCTGGACAGTTACCTCCCTTTAAAATGATTTACTACAAAGGCATCAAGACCTTGGCTGACTTGACTTTAGTTTCATAATTGTTGGCTTTTAATGCTCTTGTGAAATGTCTATGACCTAAGTTTTCCATTTTCATGTCTAGTCTTCCATCAATGATGCTGCAGAGTTCAAAGTTGTAGCTGATGCCATGAAAATCATTGGCTTCAAACTTGACGAGATCCAAACAGTGTATAAAATTTTGGCTGCTATTCTTCACTTGGTGAGTAGGGACTCTCAAAGTCTGTTGTTTCCCTGTGGAAACAGGGTACTCTTTCAGAAGATTTTGTTCCTGTAAATTTTTTTTTACGTGTATGAGTGTATTGCTTGCATGTATGTGAGTACACCCGTGTCGTGCAATGCCATGGAGATCAGAAGAGGCCTTTGGATTCCCCTGGAACTGGAGTTAAGGACAGTTCGTAGCCGCCATGTGGGTGCTGGGAATCGAACCCGACTCCTCTGTAAGAGCAGTCAGTGCTCTTAACCTCTGAGCCAGCTCTCCAGCCCCTGTTCCTGTAAATTTTAAAAGTAGTTTATGTAGTGGGGATTTTGCTCTTGTTTTGAAAAATGAGGGATTTTCCAAATCAGTATAGGTTTGGAGACTTCTTCAGTTCATTGTTTTATGTATCTCATGACTCCTTGAACAGGTTAATTTCAAGGAGAAGAAAGAGCTCAGCAATGCTCTGACTTCTAATGATAATGGCATTTGAAGCAGAAGATCCAAGTGCAGACTTGGTGGTCTCAAAGGCACAGCTAGCTTATTGGAAAGCCAATACTATAAACCAAAATGGCAAGGAATTCATACATTTGGCTATGTAAAAATATAGAAGAACCTCTACAAAATATACAAAATGAAAGGATAAACCAGTATATGGAGAAGAAGAAAAAAGATAAAGTGCTAGGCTTTCATATATGGACAAATATATTTCGGAAGAAAAGTACAAACAAGGTCACTTGAATTCCATTTTAGTTGACATATACCTGTTGTGTGATGTTTCAAAAACTCATTGGAAATGCTGTGTTTTGTTTTTCATTTTTGATATAGGGAAACTTAAAATTTATAGTAGATGGTGACACGCCACTTATTGAGAATGGCAAGGTTGTGTCTATCATAGCAGAATTGCTCTCTACTAAGACAGACATGGTTGAGAAAGCCCTTCTTTACCGGACTGTGGCCACAGGCCGCGACATTATCGACAAGCAGCACACGGAACAAGAAGCTAGCTATGGCAGAGATGCCTTTGCCAAGGTGAGTCTGAACTCGATCCCATGTGGCTAGTGTTAATTTCAGCTGCAGCTTGACACAACCTGTAAGGATGTGTTCATATGTCCCTGACAGTGTGCTGGCAGCTTTTAGAAACCACAATGAGATTTTCTGGCTGTCACTGTCTCAGTGAAGTCCCTGGTTGTGAGCAGCACTGGCTGGAAAAGGAAACTAGACCAATGGTGGCACTGATGGAGTCAAGGCTGCTCAGCAGGGTGGCACCAGTGCTCCTCTCCTGCCTCATTTCTACTGTCTTCATCTACCTTTTCATTCCAGCACATTCATCTTTCTTGTTCAAAAATTTTTTATTTTTTATTTTCTGTGTGTGAGTGTATTGCCTGCATGTATATTAGTACACCTGTGTCATACAGTGCCCACAGAGGTCAGAAGAGGATGTCATATCCCCCAGAACTGGAGTTCTAGATAGTTGTTAGCCACCATGTGCATGCTGAGAACTGAACCCAGGTCCTCTGGAAGAGCAGCCAGTGCTCTTAACTGCTGAGCCATCTCTCAGCCCTCGTCACACTTATCTTTTCTTGAGCCTCTTGCAGTCTTCATTCTTTTCTTCCAGCCACAGGACTTCTGTGTGTGCGATTCCTTTGTTTGCATCGCTCCTCCATCCCATCTTGCCTTGTTTCATCTCATCCTGTTTACTTTTCTCAAAGAAGCCTTCCCTTGACTCCCTACAGTTTTTGGAGAAGAAAAGATCAGGGATATTACTGATCCAGTGAGTCATGGACCCATGCCTGTGGAATATTCTTAAAATACATATAGTAACCAATAACTTATTTTTAAAAAAAAAACCCCAACTGCTTGCTTCAGTTTGGTACACATCATTTAGCTGTCTGTTTAATAGGTCATGTGTATTTTCATTGTTCTACTTAGGCAATAACAGCTATGCTAAACAGTAAGAAGACACATGGGAACTGAAGGCATCCCAAACCCAGAGGACTCATTCCCAACAGCAAGAATTTACGGGTGTTCTCTTTCCCACAGGCAATATACGAGCGCCTTTTTTGTTGGATTGTTACTCGCATCAATGACATTATTGAAGTCAAGAACTATGATACTACAATTCATGGGAAAAACACTGTTATTGGTGTCTTGGATATCTATGGCTTTGAAATATTTGACAACAACAGGTAAGCTGGATGAGCTACTTAAAACCCTATTGAGCTTTTTTCCTGTATTTGAACCTAATATACCCCATTTCATGTAGCTTTGAACAGTTCTGTATCAACTACTGCAATGAGAAACTGCAACAGCTGTTTATTCAGCTGGTTCTGAAGCAGGAGCAAGAAGAATACCAGCGGGAGGGTATCCCTTGGAAACATGTGAGTACACTCGTGGGAAGACACCTGAAGAGGTGTCTCATCACACCTTAGCATGCTTATTTACCACCTTGGGTCCTTGAACCACCTGGACCTTAGCTTTCCTTCTTGAGATATATAGATCCCGTCCATTTTCAGGGATGTAGGTGGAATTTCTCTAATCCAGTGGGCTCACTTGCTGGTGCCCAAGAAATGCTCAGTTGCAACAGATAAGCCTCACATTTTCACTACACAGCCACTGCTACATGGCTTCCTGGTTTCTATTTACCTATTAGAGTGACTTACTTACTTTTGTCTTAAATTAGATGAACATGCTTCCAAATCTAGTTTTTCTTGCTCCCCCTTCCTTCTTTTTCTCCTCTATTTTATAAACTCAGTGGCCTTTTGTTGCTCTCTATTCATGATGTTCATATTCCCTAAAGCCTGTGCTTTGGAACGCTTGTGTTCACGTTCAGTTCCATGTTCTTTCTTTTGTTATCACCTCTCGCCTTGTGGCTCTTTGTGAATTTTTGCAGTTGTCAGAGGCCAACTCTGTAGATGAGGTACAGCTGGAGAATATGACTGGTCTAGGGTTCATAGCCCAGAGATCAGGGCTGAAAGGCTTGCTTGTTTGGCCTTCTTGGTCTACCATAGACTGCCTGCTCCTGATAAGAAATTTGTATATTTTTTAAAGTTTTAAGAATGGACTTGCAAAAACTGGGTTTCCATTAGTTTCTGAGGTTTTTTTTATTTGGTTGGTTGGTTTGGGTTTTGTTAGTTTTTGTAACTTTTGGAATTTTTGAGACACAGTGTCATGTATCCCAGGCTGCCCTTCAACCTGTTGTGTAACCAAGGGTGACCTTGCACTCATGTGTTCCCTATGTCTCCTGTCTCTACCTCCTGAGTGCTAGGATTACAGACATTCACTACCATGCCTGGCCCCAAGTTTCTGAGTTTATAAAGCTGTATTTATCCTCTTATGGTGGCACATACTTGTAATCCCAGCACTCTGAAGGGTAGGAGGACCACAAGTTTGAAGCCAACTTGGGCTACAAAGAAATACTTTGTCTCAAACTACAACTAAACAAACAAAAATATCCCTTAACAATCAGAATATCAGCTTCTGTGGATGGTTTAATAAAGAGAAGAATAATAACTGCAATAGTAGGCTAATCCAAACATCAAAAAAGATCAATCACCCTAAAAAATGCAAAAGTTCTTGAAGAACTTAAGTAAGCCAAGAAATATATGTCCTAAAACAGAACCCTAACTGCCCCCCTAGTAACAGTAATAGCATGCCAGTGTCCACCAAAATTAGAATTTCTGTGTCCTCTGACCCCAAACCTCTAAGCATTGTGATTCTTTTATTTATAGGTACAGTTCGTATGTGCCACAACATGCATGTGAAGGTCAGAGGACAACCTTGAGAAATTGTTTTTCTCCTTCCACCTTGTGGGTTCCAGGGATTGAACTCAGCTTGTCAGGGATGACAACAAGCACCTTTACCTGCTAAGCCATCTCACTAACCCAACAATAAAGCTTTTGCACAAAGCTTTTGTATTTGAAGTGGGGATGTGAGACCAGACCCCCATGCCGTTAAGCCACCCCATCACATCTCTCCCATCTCCTTGTATGCCTTAAAAAGAAACTGAGAATGCCAGATTGCTAAAAGAACCTGATTTTAAAACCAACATTAAAAACATTTCTTTAAGCAATGTTTGAAATATCATTAAACTTACAAACCAGGAGTCCCTAGAATCTTCAGCAAGCACTTGCAGGAATGAAATTGGAATTTTAATATTTTGTTTATTTTTTTATTTTATGTGTATGAGTATATTGCCTGAATGTATATAAGTGCACCCATGACCTGCAGTGCCCATGGAGGTCAGAAGAGGGTGCTGGATTCCCCTGGAACTAGAGTTACAGATAGTTGTTAGCCACCATGTGGGTGCTGAGATTCGAACCCTGGTCCTTTGCAAGAGCAGCCAATGCTCTTAACTGCTGAGCCATCTCTCCAGCCCCAGAAATTGGAATTTTAAATACTTTTTTTAAAAAAAAATATTTATTGTTTTTATTTTATATGTGTGTATTACCTGCATGTAGGTAAGCGCACCTGTGTCTGCGGTGCCTGCGGAGGTCAGAAGAGGCTGTCAGATCCTCTGGGACTGGAGTTACAGATAGTTGTTAGCCACCATGTGGGTGCTGAGATTCAAACCCTGGTCCTTTGCAAGAACAACCAGTGTTCTTAACTGCTGAGTCATCTCTCCAGCCCAGAAATTGGAATTTTAAAGAAATTCTTTGCCTCAAGACAGAAGACTTAGTCTTTAGTTCTAATGTCTTTTAGTCCTAATGTCTAAAAATGGCAGTTATTAATAGATTTCCTGCATTTCAAGTAATTTTAGGACATTTTTTCAAAGATGCAAATAACTTCTCTAAGTAAAAGTAATAATAATGGCCCACAATAAAACATAAAATATTAAACTGGTAAGAACAGATACTACACTTGATCTTAGCCAAAAGGCCGAGAAGCTATAAAAAACATAAAATATTTAGAGCAGGCTTCTCTACCCCATTACCACTGAAGTTATGCACTGGATAATTTTTACAGTGGGTCTGTCTTGTACATTGGATGCAGCATCCTTGACCTTCATCCACTGAGCACCTTTAATATTCCTCTTGTCATGACAATCAAAAATATCTACTGATGTTGCCAAATGTCCCCACAGACAAAATCACCCCCAGTTGAGAAGCATTGATTCAAACCAAAAAAGCGTTGAAAGGAAGGTTTCAAAACAAAACAAAACAAAACTGGTTTTCAGGCTTCCAGTCCATGGGAGAAAATAACATGCAAAACTGGAAATGGAGTTAAAAGCTACAGCAGTGCCGGGCGTGGTGGCACACGCCTTTAATCCCAGCACTTGGGAGGCCAGCCTGGTCTACATAGTGAATTCCAGGACAGCTGGGGCTACAAGGAGACCCTGTCTCAAAAAAGACCAAAAAACAAACAAACAAACAAAAAAGCTACAGCAAATAACTGACGTAAACTGAGTATATGTAAGCCTAGAGCGGGAATCAGCAGAGAGACACCTTAGTGTTCTACTGAGTCTGTAATGCTTTCATCAGATAATGGAGAAAATGTTTAGTTTAGATGCTTCTAACATGAGATGGGACACTTCAACACCTAGGACTGAAATGTTTAATACTAAGCTGCCCATCTTCATGACACACGGCTTGCCCGAGGCCTCTGCATGCTCTGTGTATATGCAGGCCATCAGAACAGAAAGGTACTAGTAGTAGTAGAGGATTTCTGATCAAACGTTGTGTATATCGAAGTGGCTAAAAAGCCCAAAATCATGTATAACTTTATCCAGTTCATAGAAGCAAGAGAAAAGCTTTTTCTTAGGTTTTACAGATATTTACAACTCAAAATTAATTTTTAAAAATATTTTATTTGCCGGGCATGGTGGCACATACCTTTAATCCCAGCACTTGGGAGGCAGAGGCAGGCAGATCTCTGTGAGTTCAAGACCAGCCTGGTCTACGTAGTGAGTTCCAGGACAGCTGGGGCTATAGGGAGACCCTGACCCAAAAAGACCAAAAAAAAATTATATTTTTGTATGTATCTGTGTATCACTTGAATGTATGTAAGTGTATCTATGTCATGCAGTACCCACAGAGGTCAGTGAGGGTGTTGGATCTTCTAGAACTGGAGTTATGCATGGTTGTCAGCCCTCATGTGGGTGCTGGGAACTAAACTCAGGTCCTCTGCAAGAGCAGCCAGTGCTCTTAACTTCTGAGCCATCTCTCCAGCCCCTTAGAATTAATTTTAAAAACTATATTCCCAAAAAAGTTTTAGAACTCTTAGCATCATTTGCTTTCTAACTTTTGGGAAACTGGAAGAAACACACTTGGATTTTTGTTATTGAAGGCCCCATAGGTAGAACTGCAGGCTTTGTGGAGTCTCTGACTTCATTATCAGACAGCACAGCCATGATATTTTCAGGTTAGTTGTTTGACACTTAGTGGGAACTGTCACATGGTTAACAGCAAACAGATTGGAAAACTGACAGTATGAAGGAGTGGGATTGGTTGTAGGCTATGGAGAGAGAATTAAGATCAGAATTAATCTTTGCTTTTCCATAGTTATCTCTTATGAGACTTTTCATAATATAAAGTTAATGGAGAAGTTAAATTATAACCCCTAATAGAATGTGTGCTTATTTTAGTGCTAAACCTCACTGTTTACATATCTGACATTCAGGTGTTTTATTTAAGTTCATATAGCAAAAGGAGACCCCCGTGTGTCTTACCGACCTGGGTCCCTGTTCTCTTGAGCATTGTTTCCTCGCCTTGCCCTGCAGATTGATTATTTTAACAACCAGATCATTGTGGACCTCGTGGAGCAGCAGCACAAAGGCATCATTGCAATCCTGGATGACGCATGCATGAATGTTGGCAAAGTCACCGATGGAATGTTCCTTGAGGCCCTTAATAATAAATTGGGCAAACATGGTCATTTTTCCAGTCGAAAGGTAACAATGAGACTGTCCTCTTATCTTGATCTGTAAGATTTTTGCTCATTGCTCAGCAGGGTTAAATTACTTTACATTAGGTTGAATGTACATTCAAATAAAGAAAAATGTCTGGTAAATTATCTTTTACTGTGGATTAAGTTCTGGTTCTCTGATTTATAGAATGACAAAATCGATAAAATCATAGTAACCAGGAGAGGGAGCTCCAGACTATAGAATTTGTTAGATGCACGAAAAATGAACACATATCTTTAGAAAGTATGATGTCATTTATAACCAATAGGTGCCGAGTCCTTGTTCATGTGCTAGAATTTTACGCCTGCATCTGATAATTCTGGCAAGGGAAATTGCTTTTGTCCTTGACTTTTTACTGTAATCTTCATTTACAAAATGTGGTATATCCTCTATCTTGCTTCTTCAACCCTGTGACTTCCTTGAAAACAGAAATTCTAGCTGTAATCATGGTTATTACAGGGATTACATTCTTTCAATGCATTGGTATCCTTTCAACTCTCCATTTTTTACATTATAAAACTATCACAAACCACATTTGTGAAATAATTGGTGGCAGTTGAGGTTATCAAACCTTTATACCGAACATTATATGCAGTGTGTTTGCCATTTGTATTTGTTGAGGAGTCTCTGTGTGGGGAGAAACACCCCATCATCACCCTAGTCTTACCCACAAATGCAAGCTTGTCCAATAACCAGAAGCTGCCAGGAAAACAGGTCCTGCTCCTTCACATCCAGAAGGAAAGGGGCAAACAGTTCTCTGTAAATCTGTGACACACTGCCACTTTTTAGCATGAATAAATCTACTTTCTTATTTTGTCCCCTTTGAATTTGCATAATCAGAACAGAGAAATTCCCCAATTAACTAGGTAAAGCATGGATCACCATGAAATTGATTACTGACTGATACTTACTTTAGGCCAGTTATTTGTGGCTGCAAGTTGGTCTTCAGCCATTGCAGACTGATCTTCGACATGAGCGGTCCCAGCCAAGGGTATTTCTTTAGCCATTCCCCACTTATACCACAAAGATCAAATTAAGTGCCTCTCATTTTCCAGTTGTAGTCCTCAGTGATGGTCACAACAGTGAGCAAAGTGAGACGCGACCTAAATAATTCTCGGTGGGGCATTTAAAAGGGGCACAATACATAGATTCCCAGTAAGGTTATATAGAGATGCCCATTCTAATCACAGTTGGGTTCTGGAGACTCACCTACCGTTGTGCCTTCCAGATGGTGGGCAGTGTTTGTGAAGTTGAACTGGTCATATTCATACTGAATCAATCTTATTTAAATCTTTTATATTGAACTAGAGAGCTATCTCAAAAAATGAAACCCACCTCATTGTGATATCTTTCACCCATGTCATTTGTTTAACTGAATTAAATAAATTAGTCAAAACTATTTTTAAATGTAATCTCTCTCAGTTTCCTCTCCTCTCTCCGCCTCCTCCCCCAGCCCTCTCTGCCCAGGCTGGCTTCAAACTCCTGGGTTCAGGTGATCCTCAGCTACTCAAATAACTAGTACTGAGGTACACGCCACCACACTAGACTGCAGTCTCATTTTTAAGGGAACCTAAACATAGTACATTTAAGCACTTGCTACTAATTTGCTAGAAAATGCCAAGTAGTATTTACTTGCCAAATAGTATTTCCTTCCTTCTTTTTTTCTTTTTTGGTGGAAATCCCAGTTTCCCAACAGTTCAAAGACCTACGTCTTTTTTTTTCCCCCAATATCCCTTGGACACTGAGATGGGAATATTTAAAGTGTATTTGGGGGACTGTGTATATGTGTATGGTATGGTGCACATGTATATGTTCATGTGTGTTTAAGCATATGGAAGCCAAAGGTCAATGTTGTATATCTCCCTCTATAGCTCTCCACCTTTAAATCTTTAAATCTTTTTTTAAAAGCGTAGAGAACAAGAGTCTGAAGAGTGTGAGTCACTGGACAGGACTCCTATATTAAACTTTACCCAGGGGAGGAGGTGCATGACCACATGAAAACAGAGTCTTACAGCTCCTAGGACCTTGCTCTTATGAAACTACAACAGTGGTGTCAACATGGTGTCAACATGTACTTTATTCTTTGAGACAGGGTCTCTCACTGAACCTGAAGCTCACTGATCAGCTAGGGCTTCCTCATATCCTATCGTCTCTGCCCCACCTAGCACTGGGATTATAGAAGTCCATTGTACCTGGCTTTTATGTAGATGCTGGGACTCCTAACTCAGGTCCTCATGCTTATACAGCAAGCATTTTACTGGCAGCCATTTCCCCAGCTTCATTTTTAGGGAATTTTGCCTCATAAAGGAAAGAAATGAAATAACCAAGCCGTTAAGATACTTTTTAATCACTATAAACCTGTATGTTAAATAATGCCATTAGCCTGTGTGTTGAGCCAGGTGTCATTTGCTACTGCTTACTGATCAGCTAGGCTTAATGACTTAGTAAATAGAAGATTTCTGGCTTTTATTTGAAACTAAGATCTTCCTTTGTCATTAAAGTTACTGTGAAGAATCATTCACATGACCCAAGAAACCAATGAAATATTTTAAAATAAGAAAGTAAATGATAAATACATAACTACTAGACAGGCATGGTGGCGCACACCTTTAATCCCAGTGCTTAGGAGGCTGAGGCAGGCAGATCTCTGTGAGTTCAAAGCCAGCCTGGTTTACATATAAGTTCCAGGCCAGCTGGGGCTACAAGAAGACCCTATCTCAAAAAAGACAAAATAGTAATAATAATAACTACCCAAAAAAGTTAGTTTTGTTTTTCTGTTGAGGACAGTCAAGGCTTTGCATTATAGCCAGATAGAAGACTGGCCCATTATTTGGGTCTTTTTCCCTTCAATAGTTTTACAAATTAAAGGATTTTGTAAAACAGCTTAGAAAAAGGGAGAGGGCTGGAGAGATAGTCCAGTGGTTAAGAGCACCTCCTGCTTTTACAGATGACCCAACTTTGGTTTCTAGCACCTACATTGGTGGCTCACAACTGCCTTTAATTACAGTTCCAGGGAATCTGACACCCTCTTCTGGGCTCTGTTGGCACCTGTACTCAAGTGCACATAACCCAGACATAGATACACACAAATAACAACAAATCTTTTTTGGGGGGGGGACAGGGTCTTCCTGTAGCCCTAGCTGTCCTGGAACTCACTATGTAGATCAGTCTGGCCTTGAACTCACAGAGATCCGCCTGCCTCTGCCTCCCGGGTGCTGGGATTAAAGGTGTGCACCACCACGACCGGCAACAAATCTTTTTAAAAGAGAGAAAGAAAAATTATTTATTTTGGAGATTCTTCTGTATGTTAGATGCTTTGGTCTCAGTTCATTTAACTTTCAGCTCTCTGAGATAAGTGATTATTAAAAGAGACAGAGTGGGGCTACACAGATGGCTCAGTGGTTAAAAGCACTGGCTGCTCTTGCAGAGGACCAAGGTTTTGTTCCTAGCACCTACATGGCAGCTAACAACCTTCCATGACTCTAATTCCAGGGGACCCATTGCCCTCTTCTGGCCTCTGCAGGAGGTGTCCATAGTGTACTTACAGGCAAAACTCTCATACATATAATTCTTCATTTGTGAAATTAATGGCTTGTCATTCCATTAGCATCTGGATCCCACTGCCCTGACTGGATTGTGTGCTATATGACATTAGCACCTAAGTAATTCACTGCAGCTGAACTTGGTACTGCATAGATTCTCACATGTCTGCCTTAGAGCCTACCCAAGAGCCAGTGATCTTTCACAGGGCAGACAGAGACATCTGGGTGCTACTATAACGAGGAGGAAGGTTGGATAAAGTCATAGAGACATCCAGGCCATTAAAACCGGCCTTTCCATAAAGTATTCTCCTTCAGTGAAAAGCAGGTGTGAGAAGTTGATCTATGTATGAAGAGCACCTAAACTGGAGTCCAGATCAGTAAGCAGATGAGTCCAGCCACTGTGTTCTGAAGAGCATAGATATTACCATATTGGGTCTGGCACACTCACATTTCACATCCATTGTCCAAAACCTGGCCACTTAGGCTTATTAGCTATGTGAGTTTCTGGTTAAAATCCTTGTGAACCATGTATTTAAACCAAACCCCACAGAATTTGATTTCATTTGATATCATGATTTGTAGCAATCGGTCATGTTGTTGGAATATGCTTTTAGGAAAATGAAATGTCTGTTTTCAAATTAATCTCCTTCTTTATCTCTTAGACCTGTGCCTCAGACAAAACCCTGGAGTTTGATCGCGATTTTCGAATCCGGCACTATGCAGGTGATGTGATGTGAGTATCTCGCTCTGATGCCTAGCATGATGGTTTGCATGCCCCTTCATATCAGAAAATGTTCCTGAGAGACTCATTTGTTTTCCTTTTCATTTTGTTTGGTTTTTGGTTTTTGGTTTTTTTTTTTTCAGGGGCCATTTTGTAGGTCATTATATTTTAAGTTCTTCATTTGAAGAAAATAGCATAGCTTTATTTCTTCCTTGCTTCTCAGACATTTACTGAACATATGTTGTATGCACTTCTTGGCATGGTTGGAACTCAGTAAAAAACAACAAATGCATCCATAAACCTTGGAAACATGTTAGGGTCTAGGGTAGACAGATGGATAAGATGGGTCCTGCCCACAAGAAGCCAGCAGCTTAGTGGCAGTGGATACATCTAAGTTATATGAAGGAAGGAAAGGGCACAAGGCTTATGGGAGCAATGAGGAGGAGAATTAACCCAGAGTGAGGAATGTGGAGAAGTCTTGCTGGAGAAGTGACATCCAGGTTCAGTACTATAAGTAAAAGTTGGCTAGGGAAACAGGGTGTGGCAAAAAGACTGCAGGACAGCCCTGTGTGTGCAGAACTGCAAGCAGTTGAGCAAGTAAGAAAAAGCAGTTTTACAATATAACTTTCTAGATAATGTTGGAGAAATAGATTCTTACAAACCACATTTTCTGATTACCTTACAATAAAAGTAGAAATTTGTCTGAAAATACCAACTAGTGTAAAATTATCATGGTATGTTAGGTTTCAGGTGCTCCTGTAACGATCTGCCACAAATCAGTGGCTTAAACAACAGAAGCGTGGGCCAGGGATGTAGCCCAGTGGCAGAGAGCTTGCCTAGTGTGGGTGGGGCTCTAGGTTCACTCCCAGCACCACAAAACAACAAAAGAGCCGAACCGCTTTGGTAGTTTTGGAACAAAGAAGTTCAAAATCAAGGTCATGGCAGGCCTACACTGTCTCTGGAGGCTTCTCTCAAGGAGAATCTGCATTTTCCAGCATTTAGTGATGTGGGCATTCCTTGGCTTGTGGCTGCATCTCCTGTGGCTTCTGCCATAGTACATTGCATCCTCCTTTGTGTGTCAGTGCTAAAATCCCTCCACCTCTATAGTAAAAGAATTCCTATGATGACATTTCTGGCCCCCTTGTTTTTTATAGGGTAAGTTCCTCCTTTCAAAATCCTTAATGTAATCACATCTTTTATACCATAGAAGGCAGTATTCCCAGGTTCCAGGGACTCTGATATGGATATCTTTTGTTTTGCAGTCATTTTTCAGCCTACTATATTTATTATGCATTCACTCTGCTTTGTTTTGTTTTGTTGCTTTTTTGAAAAAGCTGGCCCGGAACTCACTATGTAGACCAGGCTGGGCTTGAACTCACAGAGATTCACCTGCCTCTCCCTCTAGTGCTGGGATTAAAGGTATGCACCACCACACCCAGCTATGCATTTATTCTTCTTTGAACACTGATCCTTGTCTTATTTTTTAAAGAGCTCTTCCTTTTTTCTTATCTGTTAAGAATTATTTCCATATAACCCTTCAGAGAAGAGATTAACCAAGAGAAAGCAAATGACCATCTCTATAAAAACTGAAAAGACATTTGAAGAAACTTTAATAGCTATTTTGACTAAATTAAAACTCTAGCATCATAAAATAATATGGCTTAAAACTACCATTCCAACCATCAAACTAGCCATCATTCATTGCAAGAATGGCACTATTTTCAACTTTTTCTGGTTCTGTTCCCAGGTTCCAAAATATTAAATAGAGAAGTCTAGTACCATTCAAATACCTCCCACTGAAAATCCAAGCCTCACATACAGGGTACTGACAATCAGAATGGCAAAAATACTGAGCTAGACAAAGACCTTTGGCCTCCAAGTCCACCTTTTTGTTTTACTGAGGAGAAAACTTAGGCAGAATGAGTAGATGCCTTACCCAAGCCACATGCTAAGATTATAGAAGAACTGAGGCAATAACCAGGTATCCAGACTCCCAGTCCAGAACTTCTCTGGTATTCAATACTTCAGACTTCTCTCCTTTAGCCTTTCAGTCCTTTTCTGAATTTTTGCTGATTATCATCTGTGTGCACAATACTTTATTGGGTATGGTTTCTGACCACAAGGAACTTTACTTGCAAAATATACACATCTGTAGTTAAATGTATTTTAAGCAAATATGCATAAATATACATGTACATAATAAAAGATGGTTTAAATTAATTATCATACAAGTACTATCAAGTGTTGTAAAAAATCCTGAATAAGAAAATAGCATATTTTTAGCTGTTGTGGTAGACCCAGAAAGACTGATGCTGGTCTTTGGATGCTGGAAATTATTTTTATAGGAAGAAGTGGGAAGGGTGGTGAAAAAATATTCAAGAAATAGCAGCGAAGTTCCTTTGATTGGAGTGTATTCTTTCTTTAGTACAGATTAAGAAATTCCTGGAAAAAATAAACTGAGATCAAATCATAGTAAGACTTGAACACTGTACTAATGTCTTTAAAGTTCAATTTGTGTGGGTTTAACAATAGAGTAAGGTGATTTTAAAAGTTCAGTAACAAATGACAGGAAGGTGTTAGGAAGAAGACCACTGTGAACATAGTAACCTTAAAGGTCTGTGGGCAGCACACTTTGAAAGATTTTTGTTGTTGTTGTTGCAAAATTAAATGTGTAAGGCAAAAGGTCAGAGACCTGAGAATTATTGATATGTGATTGTGAAGGAATAAAAATCTAGACAGGCAAGAAATCATAACTGTTAAGGAGAGGCTGTATATATTGTGTTAACTGTTGTTTAACCTCCTAATTTCTGCTTAATCATCCAGAGCCCCAATTACTCTTCTATCCCAGCACAGAGTGCCTCCCCCTAGAGCCCTAATGGTATCTCCAGTCAGGACATCAGTGCAGTTCTCCCACCCTGGTGCTCCCTCCTCTTACCAACTGTTATCTTAACTGGGCTCTCAAAACCTTACTTTCTGCCTTCTTCCAGACATGAATAATGGGCTCATTTCTCTGCATGTGTCCCTGCATGTGCCTGCTTCCATCCCTTCATTCTGCCTGTTTCTCTGTGTGGTCTGCTGGCCCTTTTCTCCCTGCTTACCCAATTCTTACCATCCTTTGCAGTTCTTCTTGGACTCCTTTTTATACCCTGAACACTGAGTGGTACTTAGGCAAGTCACTTGACCTCCCCACGGATAAGACATTACTTCCTGTATGTTGCTTTTGTATATACAGCTATCTGTTTTGAAGTCATCTTCTTGAGGTAAGCAATAACCAGTAGGAAATGATTATCATACTCAGAACAATGGGACTGATAGTCACTTTCCTTATGAAGGAGCAAAACAAAGTCCCTTTTATTTAGTGAGCAAAGTATGTGCCCTTTAACTTAATGCTAAGTGGACAGTGCCAACTTTTTAGATGTTTGATTGCATAATTGATAACAAAAAGGCTTGTAAACTCCTAGAAAAGCTCAAGTGTGGCTCTTGCATGGTAAATAATGCATGCTTTCTGTTTTATCTCTTTAGCTATTCTGTCATTGGTTTTATTGACAAAAATAAAGACACTTTATTTCAAGATTTCAAGCGTCTCATGTATAACAGGTATGGTTACATTTTATTAATTACCTTTACCTTAAGTTCTTTGATATATATTGCATAATATGTAAGTATACACATGATTATGTTTATGTGACATTTTTAGGAGTTTCTAGCAGATTTTCTGCCTTGTTATACTTAATGAATAAAAAAGTTATATGACCCTAGAATTATAAGATCTATAAACTTAAGGCAGGAGTCTGCTACTAATAAGATTTTCTTTGATTCTCCTTGAGTTGTCTCTCTTTCTCTGTTCACTATCACCAGCTTTCTGGTACCAGAAAGGTTTTTATAGGATTTTTTTTTTTTTTTTTTTTTTTTGTCTTTTTGAGAACAGTGTCTCCTGTAGCCCCCTAGTTGGCCTGGAACTCACTATGTAGACCAGACTGGCCTTGATCTCACAAAGATCTGCCTGTCTCTGTCTCCCTAGTGCTGGGATTGAAGGAGTACACCATCACTCCTGGCCAGAACTTTAAACCCAGTGTGGAGAGAAGGTTCAGAAAGCAGGAAGAGAATTCTTAGCCAGCTTTCTATAGATTAGAGAACTACACCCAGTCATTAACTAGATTGGCAAAAGTATATTGGGTACCTTTGAGCCACACATGCTTTTAAGTCCTGGAATACAGCTGGGAAAACAATTTGGAAAAAGCCTCTGCCCTCAAGAACCTGTACTCTAGTGGAAGTGACAGTTAATAAACAAAAACTTTCAGAGTAAGTAAGTAAGAGATTGAAGAGTAAAGACAGGAAAGGCAGGGGAGGCACTGAAGGTAGGGTTGCCAGGAAAGGTATCTTACTGAAGTCAAATCCAGCAGATACCTGGGTTGGGGAGAGAGCCACATAGATATCTGGGGGAAGAGTATTCTAGGCAGAGAGAACAGCTGGTCCCAAGACCCTGAGGGAGGAATCAGCTTGAGTATTGACAGCAGAAAGGACAGCAAGAACGGTGGTATGTAAAGACAGAATGAAAGGTGGGGAAAGTGGTAGGGAGTGAAGTTAGAGAGGTGCACAGGACCAGAATCAGTCTCTGAGCCAAGGTAAGGACCGAAGTATGAAGGGGGAAGCCATTGGAATGCATGATCTGGTGTTATTTATACCAAGGAGATCACTAGTGTCACTATATAAAACTTGTTCTATCAGAAGCAAGAGTGGAACTAGAGAGACCAGTTGGAGCTGGCTTAACAATCCACACTGAAACCTGGTAGCAGTAACAGAGATGATGAAAATGGTTCAGACTAGGTGATACTCAGAAAGGCGAGTTGAGATGTTTGCTGATAGACAGCCAGAACTCAGATGATGCATATGCCTTATGTGAGAAGGCAACCTATGTTTTGGATGTGGTAAAGCTGAAGTACATCCTGCATATCTGAGTGAAAATGCCAAGTAGGCTACTGCACAAATGCATCTGCATCTCAAAAAAGATGGGACTAGAGATGCACATTCATGGTGTCAGTATACTGATTATATTTAAAACCATGAGACTGGATGAGTTATGAAGAGGGTGAAAGATTCTTTCCTTGAAGCGCCAGCATTTAGTCAAGGAAGGATGAACTAGCAAAAGAAAAGTCGAGAGCACTCCATGAGATGGGTAGAAAGCCAGAAAACTGGTGTCATAGAGGCCTAGCCAAGAAAAAAATGCTTTAAGAAGAAAACAGTGATAAAGTGTGTCAGATCAAAAGCAAGAATGTTGGAAGGGTTGATATTGACCCGTTTGCTCATGTGAAGGTCATGGGATCCTTGACTACACTGATTTCTAAGGAGCAGTCAAGACAAATGTTTGGCTGACATAGGCTTGAGAGAGAACTAAAAATGAGAGCATTGAGACAAGGTGTTTAAATAATTCTTTCAAGATAATTTTGCTTTAAAATGGCCCATCTGTGGATGTTGTAGCCTCCAGTAATGAGAATGGAGCTGTCATCAATAGAGAGTTACAGAGACATAGGAGTGGAAGAGGGTGTCTATATGAGAGCTGGGCACGTGGGAAAGTGACCTTGAGAAAGAAAAATCGGTGCTCAATTTTATCAGACAAGATGTACCCATTTTGAGGAGCAAATGGCAGAGCCTAGCATTTCTCTTGTAGAAGTATAAATTGGAGGAACTGGAGAGACGGTTCAGTAATTAAGAACACTGGCTTCTCTTCCAGAGGACCCAGGTTCTATTTCTAGCACCCGCATGGTGGCTAACAACCAACCATAGACTCTAATTCCAGTGAATCCAGTGCCATCTTCTAGCCTCCACAGGCATTGCACACATGAGTTCATGTATTTACTTTCAGGCAAAACACTCATACACTAAATAAAAATAAATAAAAAGTTTTAAAAGAAATGTTAAATTGGAAAACAACCATATTTGGTCAGTGACAATGTCACAATATGTTGTTAAGCTTGCATCCAAGAAGGAACACAAAGTAGTATTTATTATCTTTATAGATTTATCATGGCCCAGAGAATCAGCTCACAGGGAGTAGCTCCACCTCTCAGTGGTGGACTAGCATAGCCCAAGATCACAAGACAAGGGTAGAAACAAAGCAGCATATGAGTTTATTTCCAGTGAAATACTGAATAGTCACAAGAATACAATACTTGCATTGCTAGCACAGGTGTTTTCACTATTGGAAAACCTGCTTGGGAAGCCAAACAGTACTGAAATTTTGCTTATTAATTAGCAGTGAAAAATACTGTACATAGAAGCCAGTCTGCTTAGTTGCTTGGGAAGCACAGAGTCAGAACAGAGGAACTTAGATAAACCCAATAGTTAAAGGCACCAGGCTCAGATGAATTCATTTTACAATCTTCCAAAGAGGTAAAAAGATTCAATATGTTTGTTACAATCTTTGTATTGAAGAAGGCATTACAGTGAGATGGCATTTAGATGGGCCACTTTTACCTATGGACACTTTTTGATATTTCTGTGGCTGAACGGTCTCCCAAAATCTGAATGCATTCTTACTTTGTATATGTTAATATTACCCTTGGGTCTCTAGTTCTCTAGATAGACCTCAAAAATTGTACATGCATACACGAATGCATGTTTATCACCCCTTATGTACACATATGCCTGTAAATGGAGGAAAGGCAGACTCTCTGCCTGCTAGGTGCATAGACCTTTACTCCTTGCTCTTAAATTTTTTATTTGTATTTTATGTGTGTATTTTGCCTGCATGTATGTAAGTGTACAACGTGTGTGCAGTGCCCATGGATGCAAGCAGAGGGTGTCAGATCTCATAGAACTGTGTTTACAGACTGTTGTTAGCCACCATGTAGGTGCTGAGATTTGAACCTGGGTCCTTTGCAAGCAGCCAGTGTTCTTAACCACTGAGCCATTTCCTCCAGCCCCTACTCTTTATTCTCTCATTGGTCAGCTCAGCTCTGCCTTACATTTTATACATGTTGGGTTTCTGGTTTTGTTTCTCTTTTAAGGAAGGATTGTAGGGGCTTTGAGTTAGCTTAGTGGTTAAGAGCACTTGCTGCTCTTCCAGAAGACCTGAGTTCAGTTCCCAGCACTTATATCACATAGCTCATAACCATCTGTAACTCTAACTCCAGGGAATCCAATACCCTCTTCTGATACCTGCACACTCATAGAATACACTCATATAAAACACACATACATAAATAAAAGTAAAAACAAATCTTTTAAAAAATAGGAAAAGGATTTTAGTATTTTTGGGGGGGGGTTCTTTTTTTGAGACAGGGTCTCCCTGTAAGCCCCAGCTGTCCTGGAAGTCACTATGTAGACCAGGCTGGCCTGGAACTCACAGAGATCCGGGTATTTTAGTATTTTAAGATATCAAAAAACTGTTTTTTTTTAAATCTTTTTAAAATTATTTATTTTTATTTTATGTGTATGCATGTATTGCCTGCACGTAGTAGGTAAGTGCACCCATGTCGTGCAGTGCCCGCAGAGGTCAGAAGAGGCTGTCGGATCCCCTGGGACTGGAGTTATGGACAGCTGTTAGCTGCCATGGGGGTTCTGGGATTCGAATCCGGGTCTTCTGCAAGAACAACCAGTGTTCTTAACTGCTGAGCCATCTCTCCAGCCCCTCAGAAAACTGTTTTGATAACAGTATATTCATGACTGTCTATCAAGAAATTTTCTCTCAAAATGACTCTGTCTGTTTAGATTTCTTTTATATCAGTTCTAATTTAATATATGATCTTATTTCCAATCTTCTCCTTCCCTTCATTTACAATATAATATGAGACTAGTCTCCAAAAACAGCTAACAGTGAATAAGGTAGAGGAGGAATCTGGGTTAGAAACTGCATAGATCCCAAGCATCACTGATCCTGTCTTTTGACATATAGGAGAATTTTCAAAGTACACACAGGACATTTTTCTACTCTTGCAGAGGACCTGGGTTCGATTCCCAGCACCCACATGACAGATAACCACTGTCTGTAACTCCAGTTTCAGTTGGGAATCCGACACTCTTCTGACCTCTGTGGACATTGCACAACACAAGTGCACTTATATACATGCAGGCAATACATTTACACACAAAAAATAAAAATAATAAATAAAATACTTCTTTAAAAATCCTGACTAAGGCTGGGCGTGGTGGCACATGCCTTTAGTCCCAGCATTTGGGAGGCAGAGGCAGGTGGATCTTTGTGAGTTCAAGGCCAGCCTAGTCTACATAGTGAGTTCCAGGCCAGCTGGGGATACAGGGAGACCCTGTCTCAAAAAGACCAAAATAATAAAATAAAATGAAGTAAATAAAATAAAGTAAATAAAAAATAACCTGATAGTTCCCAGAAATGAAGCAGCATTTCCGGTTCCAGATACTTTAAAGTGCAAAGCGTGAGCACAAAAGAGGAAGAAAATTGCAGCCAAGATTACCACGTAATTTTTAAAAATACACTCATGCACGCATCAGCGTGCGCGCGCGCACACACACACACACACACACACACACATACGAGTATCTACTGAGTCAAATAGTGAATCTGTGAGTTTCAATATGGAATTGGCCCACAATACAGTTTTAGAACTAGTCTGCAGTAGTCCTAATGTCATATCAATATAGTACAGTAACTGCCAGTGCTACCTGTAAATATGTTCATAAATTCTACTGTAGTAAAGGGATTTGCCATAAGACTGTATCGGAATGGTTATTTTTATGTCCCTAGCTGTATATTTAGAAATTGTGTAGTGACACCTGTTAGAAGCTGTTTTGCTTCGTTTTCTGCTGTAATATTGAGAACTGATTTCCTACTAGTGATTCGTCCTTTTTTTTTTTTTTTTTTTTTTGGTCTTTTTGAAGCAGGGTCTCCCTGTAGCCCCAGTTGTCCTGGAACTTACTATGTAGACCAGGCTGCCCTTAAACTTGCAGAGATCTGCCTGCCTCTGCCTCCCAAGTGCTGGGATTACAGGCATGCACCACCACGCCCGGCACCCATCCTCATTTTTTAACCAAGTCTGTATGACATATCTATATAGAGAGATAGAGCTATATAAAGAGCCACATTAACCACATGAGAGTTCTACAAATCATACAATGGATGTCACTTTAAAGAATTTTAAAGTGTCTAAGTGCTATGGTTAAGTGCTATGGTTTGGAACATTTTCATGGTGCAGTATTGGTCATTATATTAGCATAATTTGGGGAATGGCATAATTTTTCCAGTTAGACTTGTGAGTTCAGTCTGTAGTACATTATGAGTTTAGAATACAGTTCAATAGAACTGCCTGGCTGTTTTTAGTCACCTTATTTATGTGTAACGTTTGAATTGCTCTTTCTGTGCTTCTCAGTTCAAATTCTGTGCTGAAGAATATGTGGCCTGAAGGCAAACTGAGCATTACAGAAGTGACCAAACGACCTCTGACTGCTGCCACCTTGTTTAAGAATTCTATGATAGCTTTAGTAGACAACCTTGCTTCAAAGGTAATTATTTCCTTTTTATAAACATCCTTTATAAATAGAGTCCCTCTTGACATACATTGTGGAGAATGCACATGATTTTTATCTTTAATCAAATTGAACAGTATATATTTAAAGCGAATGTTATAGTGTAATTTTTACTCCTACTCTTTTAAAAAACTTCCCTGAGTGAAATAATTATTTGTATCCTAGATGAATTCCTGTCTTAAATTTGAGTTTCTTATACTGTTAAGGTCAAGGGGGAAAATCTCATTGTGTTTTAAACATATATGCATGCTGTGCCATTTCTGGCAAAATGAACTAACCCTGTTCTGAAGACGGCATGGCCAAAATAAAGGTGGGGAAGACAGTTGAATTTAACTGTAGTAATGTTAGTAATGCACCATCCACCCATATTATCCTTACTCTGTTTAAAGTGGTTGGATTCTAAAGATGTATTGTTGACAATTATTTCTGCTCTTTGCTATTCCTTTGATTCTAATGCTATTTGATAACTTGAGCCTGGTTGCTTTCTAATGTATTTTTTGTTTGTGCTTTCTCTCCCCCAACCCCCTTAAAGAACAGATTTATAAATAAGGCAGCTTTCTGGAACTCATTATTTTTAGTTCCTTCATCTTTATTTCTCTTCTGGTAATTTTTCTGTGTATTTTCTTCTTTGTTATTATCTTTCTAGAAAATCAATTTCCTTTCTAAAAATTTTAATTTGCATCCATGCTTCACTGTGGCAAATTAGGCAAATGCCACAAGCACACATCTGTTCAGTAGCTTTTTGTTTCTTTCTATCAGGATTCCTTAGCCTCAACTGACATCAAATAAGCACAGTTCTTTGGCTTGTATAATTACATTTCCAGAAAGGCAGGAGCAAGGACACAGGCCCTGAAAGACTGGAATGCCATTAGGAGCCCTCACTCTTCTGTCTCAATTTCTCTCTTTTTATTTTCTTCAACCTACTTCATCAAACAAGAAGGAAAGGAACCCAGAAGGAAGGTGTATGACACACGAAATAGCTGAGCTTCTTTGTGGAAGACACTTATTTAATTAACTTGTGAAAGAACCATTATTTTAAAGAATTGATAAATATAAGCCAGGAGTGGTGGCACACACTTGTAATCTCAGGAGGATTGCAGATTTAGGTCCCAGTGTAGGCTATATAGCAAGTTCTAGGCCAGGCTGGGCTACAAAGTGAGACTACATGTCTCAAAGAAAGCAAAACAAGAACTATGAAAACTAAATTCAAACCTTTTTCTAATAGATCACAGCAACCCTGTACCCAGGGAGTAGAAAATATATATTCCTTTCAAGTATAAATGGAACACTTTGCAAGACTTGACCACATGCTAGATCACAAAGCAAGACTCAACTATTTTGAAAGAATATATAGAGAGATACATTCTCCATCCTCAAAGCAAGTAAAATAAAACCATTTTTTAATGTGCTTGGAAACTTTAAAAAATGCTTTCCAAGCTGGCAAGATGGCTCAGCAGGTCAAAGCAATTTCCCACCAAGCCTGACAACCTGAGACCCATGTGATGAAGGAGAGAGCCAACTCTGCAAGTTGTCCTCTGACCTCTGCCAGCAGAGCCCCCACCTAAATAAAAATTAAAAGTAATTTTTAAAAAATGCTTTCCTAAGTAACTCACAGATTTAAGACGCTATCACAATGAAAACTACAAAATATTTGTTATGCCCTTATAAAGCAACAAAAACTGAAAGTAGGTAAGTTCAACTCAGAAAGCCAGAAAAGAAACTCAAAAGATAACCTGAAAAGAGAAGAAAATAATTTTCATAGCAGAAATTAAACATAATGGAGAAATTTAAAACTAAAAATAGATAGAACTAATGAAAAATATCATGAACTAAAAATAGTTATGACTTCTGATACCAGAGATCAACATATTATGAATAACTAGATGTAAACACATCTTAAAATTTACATAGTTTTCTAGGAAAATATCAAAATTAATTCAAGAAGAAATTGAAAATGAGAATAAACCAGTAACCTTAAAGATTCTGAATTCCTAATCAGAATTCTATCACCTTCTAACTCCACCAAGAACATCAGGCCTATATGGTTTTTCACACATATTTATGGAACTAATACTCCGTATCATATATAAACTATGTTGAAGATGGGAAGAGAGGCTACTACCCAACTTATGATAATTATGTTACCATAATATAAGGTGAATATGAAAAAGTAAAATGAGAAGCCAGTTTAACATAGGAACATACATAGAAGATCCTAAAGTATGTATAACTATTGCCTTGTCTGGCAGCATGATAAATAAGGTACCCACAAAAGACAATTGAAAACAACAGCTAAAGTATTAAATTTTAAAAAGAATCAACTTCCTGAATGCAGTCATGAACTAATAAAATTTAAAAACTATGCAAGCTAGGGGCTAAGTAAATTCAGAAATTAACTGAGTGGGAAAAGAATAACAACCCTAAAGCTACCTTCTAGCTGTGGGGTTTGTTGAAATAGGTAACTTTGAATACAGGTAGTCAGCAGTCAGGTCTGGGTCCTTGAAGTGAGATCTTGGGCTTCTCAAAGTTGAGTGCTATTAAGAGAGTTACAACACACACACACACCTTTAAAAGCCACATCCCCAAAGGGCTACATCAAGAATGAACTAGATATAATCCCTCATTGTCTATAAGGAAAACTGCCTATCCTGGTCTTTGATACTGAGCCAAGGAGTATCAGGAGTTGGAAGGAGAATCTCCCTTGAAAATATGTAATTTAAATAACCTTAATGAGATTTTTCAGCCTATAGTCACACTTTCTGAGTGGGCTGGAAAAGCTTCAAGCCAACAATTTAGAGTAGTTCAGGTCCTGTATTACACCTGAGAATCTGAAAGAAGCAAATACAATTACTTTCTTTTTTAATGTTTTTATTTTTTATTTTATGTGTATGAATATGTATTGCCTGCATGTGTGTAAGTGACCCATGTCATGCAAAGCCCAGAGGTCAAAAGAGGGCATTGGATTCCCCTGGAACTGGAGTTATGGACTGTTGTTAGCTGCCATGTGGGTACTGGGAATTGAACCCAGGTCCTCTGCAAGAGTAGCCAGTGCTCTTAACTACTGAGCCATCTCTCCAGCCCCACAATTACTTTCCTGAGGATACCACCTTAGTACCAGACCTTAACAGATTTCCACAGAGAAGTTCCAAGGAAAAATAAGAGCTCAATGTAAAATACTATACATCAGAGTAGGGCTAAACAGCAGACTCAGATGAAAACTTCTGGCACGGGAATGATCAGAAACAGAATACAAAGGTAGGGAGGTGGCTCAGTGAGTACAAGCATGAGGACCTGAGTTTGGATCCCCAATACCCACATAAAAGCTGGGTGTGGTAGTGTGCCTCTGTAACCCCAGTGCTAGAGGGCAGAGACAGGCAGATCCCAGGGGTTCACTGACCAGCCATACTTGATGAAATGAGGAGATCCAGGTTCAGTGAGAGATTTTCTCAAAAAACATCATGAAGAAGCAATTAAGGAAGACATCAATGTCAGCCCCTGGCCTCAACATGCCCCTGTGTGAGTGAGTGTGCATATGCACACACACAGAAATGAATACAAAATGTTTACTAGATCTCAAACAAAAGGCCTGAAAATATAAGAAAGAGTAAGCAACTAGACAGTAGATAGAAATAAAGATGAAAAAATAAATAAAAATAAAAAATATCTAGAAATACACTTAGAAAGACCAAGAACTATAACTTGTAAAAGATTAAGAAGCATAGAGACAAAATGAAAGCATCTAGCATGCATTTAATCAGATACACTGTAGGAGAGGAATGGCAGAGCTATATTTGAGGAAATAGGCCTGAGAATTCCAAGAATGTTGTAAAATACCACATTCCACTTCAGCCAGAAAGCCGAGGAGGCCCAAAGTGAGGAAAATTAAAGGAAATCTAATGTGACACCTCGTGAAAATCCAGAACATTAAAGACAAAGGATCCTTTTGGTTTGGATTGGTTTGGTTTGGTTTGATTGTTTTTGTGGAGTCACACTATGTAGCCTGAGCTGTCCTCGAGCTCTCTGCTGCTGAGACTAATCTTGAACTCCTGATCTTCCTGTCTCCACCTCCTGAGTGCAGGGATTATATATGTTCACCACCACACCTGGTTGAAAGAGTAGTCTCTTAAAAGCAACCAGACAAAAAATAGATTAGCTTCAAAAGAATTAACAATTAGGCAAAATTGAAATGACTGTTAAACAAAATTCTGTGTCCAGATATATATTTTCTTTTCTTTTCTTTTCTTTTCTTTTCTTTTCTTTTCTTTTCTTTTCTTTTCTTTTCGAAACAGGGTTTTCCTGTAGCCCCAGCTGGCCTGGAGCTCACTATGTAGACGAGGCTGGCCTTGAATTCATAGAGATCCGCCTGCCTCTGCAGGCCCACACCACCACACCCAGCTCAGAGAATATATTTTTAAAAAGCAAAGGCATTGCCAGGCATGGTGGCACAAACCTGTAGTCCCAGCACTCGGGAGGCAGAGGCAGGCGGATCTCTGTGAGTTCAAGGCCACCCTGGTCTACATAGTGAGTTCCAGGACAGCTGGGGCTACAGGGAGACCCTGTCTCAAAAAGACAACAACAACAACAATTTTTAAAAAAGCAAAGGCATTATAAAAAATTTTTCGGAAAAAGAAAAAAACTGAGATTTAAAGCAGCATCAGGACTTCTCTAAAGGAAATTCCAAAGGATCTACGTCAAGACACAGATGCAGCTTTGAAGGCTGGGTTCACTTCCTAAGTTGTAGTCTTCTGATCTTGACCAGAGATTGCCTTACTATTTTGTTAATTGTGTAAGAGGACCTCCCCTATATCTTATCTAGCATCTTTTCTTTCAGAGTTTCCATTAAGAAGGTTGATGTATACCACCTAATCATTTCCCAGAAGTGGGAATCCCTGACCCTTCTCTTTCAGAGTCTCTGCACAGTGCTTCCAGTGCAGCATCTTCTGCCTGCACCTAGATTATCTTTTTAATATAGAGAA